TTAGTCATAGTCTATCTTATCAACTCTATTAGTCATAGTCTATCTGATCAATTCTATTACTCATAGTCTATCTTATCAACTCTATTAGTCATAGTCTATCTTATCAATTCTATAAGTCATAGTCTATCTTATCAATTCTATTATTCTATTAGTCATAGTCTATCTTATCAACTCTATTAGTCATAGTCTATCTTATCAATTCTATTAGTCATAGTCTATCTTATCAACTCTATTAGTCATAGTCTATCTTATCAATTTTATTAGTCATAGTCTATCTTATCAATTCTATAAGTCATAGTCTGTCTTATCAATGCTATTAGTCATAGTCTATCTTATCAATTCTATTAGTCATAGTCTATCTTATCAATTCTATAAGTCATAGTCTGTCTTATCAATGCTATTACATAGTCTATCTCATCAATTCTATTAGTTTTATTTCAGTTATACATATCTATGTCTCACTAGTTTATTATGAATTTGATTTGATGAACTGTATAAATTACAAATAAAGTAAAAATCATAATTAATGACCAACTCAAAAACATGTCCCTTACTCTGAGACGCAGTGTGGTACACTTACATAGCTAAATCCAATGGTGAAGTACACAATCATGACAGACCAGCCAAAGAAGAAAAGGACCATGACAAGTACAAAAAGCAAGCCAGAGCACATTGTGAAGTCAATCTGTAAATCAAACATTACAATTTATTACATGTTTATTTTTAATAAAACATTACAACAGATTATATCTTTATTGTAGCTAAAGTATTCAAATGTTCATGAAATCTTTGTTGTTGATAAAGTATCACAATTTACTAAAATATTTATTGTTGATAAAGTATCACACCATGTTCAATCTTAATTGTTGATAAAGCATTCAAACTTATTACATCTTTATTGTTGATAGAATATAACAACTTGTTAAATCTTTTCTTTTGATAATGTATTACAACTTATTACATCTTAATTGTTGATAAAACATTTGAACTTATTACAATTTTATTGTTAATAAAGCATTTCAACTTATTACATCTTAATTGTTGATAAAGCACTATCTCTTATTACAATTTTGTTGTTGATAAAGCATTCAAACTTATTAAATCTTAATTGTTGATAAAGCATTAAAACTTATCAAATCTTATTTTTTGATAAGTATTACAACTTATTAAATTTGTATTGTTGATAAAGCATTGCAACTTATTGAATCTTAATTGTTGATAAAGTATTACAACTTATTAGGGATTTCCATTTGGATGGAAATACCTATTGTTATTGTTGTTTTTTCTTATTCTTATTATTCTTATTTCCAGAAATCTTGTTAAGGTCATAGGAGTGTATTGCTAAACGGAAGTTAGGAAGTACATCCCTAGTTGAAAATCCAATGTAGGGAGACAGTATCACAATTTCCACATATTCTATTGTTTAATATTAAACTGATGAATACTGTATGCTTATTATTGACAGAACAGCGTGTTCTGTCAATATTAAAGTATTTCAAAGCAAGCCAGGCATTAATTCAGTTGTTTTTTGATCAATGAGTCACATGTGTCCATTTTTCTGTACTTCAGGAAACCGGCTACCTATTTCACTATACTGTGAAGTTTTCCAAGAACGATAACTCATTGCATGCAGTTACTATGTGTATATGGTTATATTATAAAATGTCAATTTTTAATCGTTTATAGACGATTAATTTTACACAATTTCAGCATTTATGAAATTAATATACATTAATGCAATACTAATCTATGTTAGTATCATTTTTATTGACATTATTTTGCAAAAAAAATGTGTGTTTCAAGTCTCTTTTCAAAATTCAATTCTTTTTACATTAATTTCCATTTAAAATCCTTAAAATTCTGACAACCTATATCTTTTTTTGTGGCAGAAAAATTTCTTTACTTCAAAGCAATATAACTACAAAATTTGAATAAATTCTACTGAGAAATGGCGACACAATCCTATTACCTTAACACTTTATCTCAAAAAACGAATAAAGATGGTACGTCCGTATTTCAGTACATGATAGAGGACAACAAACTCCAGACACCCGAACAAAAATCATGATCGTAATGTCAAAGGTCAAGGTCCCAGATCTAAAAATCGATTTTTTAAAACATTTTTAGAACGACCATAACTTCATAGGCGTTCGTTGTTCTGCATGAACATTATGTGGATCTTGTAGATCTTGGTCGGGGCTATTTTTTGCCCATGACATGTTTTCAGAGAATATGTCAAGTTAAAAGCCTCGCTATGAGGTCAAATATAGGTAAAAAATGAAAATCTCAAAATGAGTTATATTTTTATCTCATCATAAAGGGAATGTTCTAATGAAGGTATGTGAAAAATTTCATGATCATAGCTTCAAAAATGACGAAGATATGCCACTTTGAAAAGTTTCATTTTCCCGCCAAAATTCAAAATTTTACTAAAAACGCTTGTTCTCCTTCATTAAGACACATACAGGGTTGATATTGGGTATATCCATAGTATGTAGCCTTGCCTACAAAAATGCTACATATCATTGACCTTGACCTACATTCAAGGCCACAGGGGTCAAATGATCTTGTGGACACTATCTCAAGAACGAATAAAAATATAACATTCATATTTCAGTACGTATTAGAGGACAAGAAACACATGGTATGCAAACAAATTCATTATCATAATGTCAAAGGTCAAGGTCACAGATCTAAAAATAGAGTTTTTTTAAAAACGTTTTTTTGAACGACCATAACTTCGAAAGCATACTTCTTGTTGAGCTTAGTCAGGGCTAACTTTTTTCCGTGACATGTTATCAGAGAATATCAAGTTCAAAGCCTCGTTATGGGGTCAAATATTGGTCAAAAATAAAAACAATAGTTCATATTTTCCCAAATATAAAAGAGCAAGGTCTATTTAAGTTATTTCCGAAGTTTCAAGGTCATAGCATCAAAAATGACGAAGATATACCACTTTGTTATTAGGGATTTCCATTTTGTCATTTTTGTGCGATTTTGAAGTGTTTTCAGTACTCTCAGTACTTTGATTTATATTAAGACGTCTTAGGTACAAGCTGGTAATACTACATCAATTACTACGCACTCTCAATCTTAAAAGTAGGGATAGTTTACATCTCTACTGCAGTGGGCAAACATCAGCCTTTCTTTGGCATGGCAAACCGAACCGATATAGACACAATGCTCGTTTCATTCACCACCCCGATGTACATAGTTGAGGGACTATATGCCTTTTACGGACTACCTTCGTCTTTCTCCGACGTCATTTCCCACTCTGGGAATCCCACACTACTCAGTCAGCTACTGTAGACTAACACACGTTCAAAGGGCAATAACCCATTACAGAACACTCAAACTACGTAGAGACTGTCTCCTTACTGTGGTCTTATTGAATCGCAGATCTGCCCTTATCCACAAACAAGGTAAATCTTCCAAACTTCCTAGGCATAATAGTCAGCTTCAATATGTCCAGGAACAATTTACTCACTGTATGTTTAAATGTTTGTTTTCCATTTTTACTCATTAATATCCAAAGACATTCATTATGATAATTCATAATATATCACTGATATATTTTCATAACTTCTGTTTCAATATGTAAAAGTGTTCTGTTTATCTTATATATTGCTGAAGCTTATCAGGCTTTTCTCGGTGACCAGTAAGTGATGCAGGCCAACATATTTTTGATCATTTTCTTGTTGGAAATCCTGTGTTTTGATCTTCATCAAATCTAGTAATAACTTTGTTGTTGATAAAGCATTAATACTTACTACATTTTTATTGTTGATCAAGTATTACAACTTTTTAAATCTGAATTGTTAATTAAGATTTACAATTTAAGTTAATTTTTGTATATGAAAATTTTGCCAGTGTTCAATCCTGGGTTTTGCAATAAGAGGGTTGAGATTGTATCCATTATCAGCAAATATTTTGTCCAGCACATGTAAGTTCACTCCCATATTAACTCAAGAGTAATGCATTTGACTCATTGCTGAGATTTCTCTACCCTACACTCTATCTTGTATTACTGTATACTCTAATTATCAGCAAGGATTTAGTTTAAAAACAGAATGATTTTCTCATCATAAAATTTCATATCACATACAGATAATATTACATTGCATCTTACATATTGCGTCTTTCCAAGACTGATTCTACAAATTTTAAACAGGGCCTCTGACATTTTTTGAACAGGGGGAATTTTGGGAACTTACTTAAACATTGGATAATGAGGGGTCATAAAGACACGACTAAAATGGTATTCAAAATGACATAATACATGTATTTCATGTCTTTCAAGTTTGATGAATCCTCAACTATGGTACTGATTATTTTATTTATTCTAAACTTTTTTGATCTGATTGACACAACATCTTCTCTTTAAATCAATATTCAACATTAAAGCTAGACTAGGTGCAGTCATATGCATGGTCATTGACTCAATGAATTGTATATTTACTATTATACTGAAATATTGTAACATCTAAAACCTGTTGTAAGTTTGTTATAAATGAATACGAACTGTGAAAACTTTCATGCAATTCTATGACAGATGTTGGTAAGCTTTTGAATTACTGTTTGATTGACTGAATTTATCGAATAACACATATAAAATCTTGCCATTATGATTTATATTTCACCGAAATAACACTGCATATTTTATGAATCTGATGAATAAATCTTGAAATTATAGCATTATTTCAAAGAGGGCTGCTAGGGGGGAATGGGGCCGTTTATAGCCGCCTTAATTTGATAGAAGAATCAGCCGTGCTTACCTTAGTCTGAATGGCAAACAGGGATACAGAGAGGCAGACAAGAGCTGTGATTCCTGCTGCTATTAACACACTGTAGGTGTCATAAAAGCTGTAACACACAATAAAACAACCTTTCTTACAATCTTACAGCAGAGACACAGCCAGTTTTCAGGTCATGCTATACAAGGTACAAGATGTTATATTTGCCCAGTAGCCAGAATTCCTTTTTGGCTTGAAATCATTGGTTGTTATACAAGAATAGGTTTTGAAGATTTTAATACTTATTTTCCTCTATGGTAATGTGATGTCATTATTCCACCCTCAATGTCTTTTTTGTCAGCCTGTTTTTCGGTTCAAGCTGGAAGCAAGCTGAACATTTATTTGCGGTAATGATAAGTAATGTTTTGCAGAGAATACAGTTTGCATACTGTATACAAAATAATGAAGTCATACCACATATGTGTTCATCTGGCTTATCAGATTGCACTCGATCAATCTGTGACATTAGATGTGTGGTATTACTTATTTCTGTGACAGGTGTAGATTTAACACATTACATATTGAAGGTATATCTGATGTAACATTACATTATACAGTATAGGTTTTAAAGAAGTGGAAATACCTACCCTAGTGTCTATGCATATGTCCATAATCCTAACCATTTCTCTGTCCTAGTCTGAAGTGTAACTCCTAAAGCTCCATTTATCATCACTATTAATTATCACATCCCAAGTCAAAATCAATATAACAAAGTTTCAATCTTAGGCCAGTATTTTTTTTGTTTAGGGAGGTCGGGAAAATGTACCATTTTATATTACAAATGTTACTTATTCATCACTTGGATGGTCGGGTGCCAGGTGGTGCAGTGAATAAAGCACAATTGCCTTTCACCAAGGCGGCCAGGGTTCGATTCCCAGATCGGATGTGAAAAGGTATGGGGGTCATCTGCCTGACCACATGGATTTTCCCTGGGTACCCCAATTTCCCCCCATAATAAGACCCCCATGAGGATTTCCATCCGGGCCAACAAGAGTGATTAATATAAGTTGAAATAACTTGTTTCATAATTGTTGTAAAATAAATAAAGTTTATTTTATTCATCCCTTAAAATCGTTCAAAATTGTGTTTTCATATGTTCCATACTTTGATACTGATAATTCATAATGTCAAATCTGCAAATATTTCCATTGGTTTTTTTTATTGGAAATACTAATTATCCAGAATTACTACAAATAGATAACATGACAAAATCATAATTCAAAGTAATATTTTGAGCAGAGCCTTTCTTGTCATCTCTGTTAGTTATGGCAAACAGTCAATACTTTATTTCTTGCCCTAGCAAACATATGGCCTTAATTCCCATAACAATGATCATTCCTTCATCAAACACCAACGAAAGGTTTTTTTTCAATAAGTTTAACAGATCATATATATATAGTCTTAACCTCTAGTCAGAACCCTTAGGCTCTGACCCTAAAATAACTCAACCACTGCAAAATAGTAAGTCAGCCTCTTGTCAGAGTAATGGGGTCCCATAGTGTGAGGGCAAGATGGGGATAGGGAGCACACTGTGTGAAGGACCCCATCACCTATATGTAGGCAGAATCTGTTCATATGTATCTTACCTGCTGATTGTGCCCACCATGTAGGAGAATACCAATGTCTGAAAAAGAAAAGCAAACAGTTACTTGATATCATAAAAAAGATTTTTTTTGTAATAATGACGCTATTATTTAAAACCACAAATGAAAAGCAATTCTCCATTCATGTCTTTTTAATCATTGAAGTCAGGACAGCTTTGCAAATTTATCTGTGACCCATTCACTAATTGTTATTTGCTCATTTGTCTATAATTTATTTACCATTACCAATAATCTGGTTATTCCATAGATCATATGCGACACATTGACCTATTCAAAATCAATCGTTTAATTCTGCAAGTTATATATCGACCAGAAATTCATTTCGAGGATTAGTCTGCAAGAGATGTGCCCCTTCTACTGAAGCATTGTGCTTTCCATTTGTAAACTGTGTCCTCTGTTTAGGCCTATGACATTGATTGGTAGCAAAACAAACCTATGTTACCTTGATCTCTACAACAATTTGATCAAAAATAGATATGGTAACCCCCCACCCCTCCCCCCTCCCTCCTCACCACCACCACCACTTTCCTACCCCCGCCCTTCCACAAATGGTAATCATCTTGTGAAGTTTCAAGTTTTTGAATGGAAAGATACAGTAACTGTATTACAATCAAGGAACAAATTTCACACATCCATTTTTTTGTGCAACAAGTCTGTCGACTTTTTATCCTCAACTCTATAAGGTTCCTCATCAACCCATGGCCAGCATACATCATCTGTGAAAAGTTGATAATGAATTTTTCTGCAAAGGAACACATTGCCTGCAAACAGACGTGACTACAGACAAAGGCAGGTTCCAGCTTTCTCTCATTACTACTTTCTAAACCTTGTTTTGGGGGGTTTTCGGGTTTACTAATGCATGTGTAAAACCTGATGACTTACAAACACAGCCAGGCATATATAGTTCCCAGGGGTCTTCCTTCTCACGGAAGGAACACAAATCAGGACGAAGTAGGTCACTATGAAGGTGGCACTGTAATATGAAGGTTACATTCTATTATTTATCAATGAATCTTATCCAACGTTAGTAAACTTCTGTCAAATCAGTGTCACAAGTAAAATATAGTTTACTCACACCCTGCAGCGGCTGTACTGTTTATATAGTCATACATGTTATAATATAGATGTCTATGTTGTGTTTATGATGTTGTACAGGTATATGAATTACATTATGTATGTCCACCTTCATTGGACAGCAATACAAAACTTGCTGATATTAGCTGCAGCCTACATGTAGTGATGCTAAATCATGCTGTTCAAGTTAAATATTACCTACATGTTATCCAGAAGTAAGGGTAGTTACATATACCATATTATCCCAATACATACTGCAATTAAATATTCTCTATCTAAATTAAGTGATTGAGGAGAAGAATTGCCTGAATGCAGTATTTATTGATTCCAGCAGACTAATTTTAATAGTAAGATTATCTAGGTCACCTTGCTTATCATATTCATAGGCATATGAATACTGAGTTAGACAGGGAATGATTTTCATTACATTTTACTTGGTGGAATAGATATAATCTACATATGTGTGTATAGTATGGGGGAAATATAACTCTCCAGGACTTGAACATTTCAGAAAAATAATTAACTCAAACTGCAAGTGGCCTTTGTTATTTAACCCTCGTTATGTATTCCACTATAATACACGAACATGCATTTATTTATTTTTAAATATGTGACTCGCAGTTAGCAAGGCATTTTATACATTGTACTTACTATGACACATAGTAGCACACACGACCATCTCCTTGGACCCAAATCTTGATGTCATCTCTGAAATAAAAGAAAAAATATGCACATTTGACATAACAGCCCTGAGCCAAAGAAAAGCACACATGTACATGTATATATGAATAGCTTTGTTGGAAAATTCAAGTCATTTTTCAATTATCAATGCAATATATACTTACACTAAGGAAAACACAGCAGCACAAGCAAAGGTGATGAGGAGCTGGACCATCAGGATCAGGTATACCTATAACAACAACAGCATGTAGTCCCCCAATAAACAAATAGATAGTCATCACTGCTTATCCTCATAGATTTTACATAGTTTGCACTACAAGTTTCTCTATATTCATTACCAAAAGAACTTGCATCCATAGGGCTATGAATGTAATTGGATCAGTGTTATTTGAAGCTTCTCCTCCCGCCTGGAATCACATGAAACAACCACTTAAAAAAAACATTTTGACGATGTTAGACTGTTCAAGGAATCTCGTTTGCGCCGATGACATGAACACTTCAATATCGGAAATGTCTGTATTTAGGTGAATAAGAAGTAAAATATTAGAATGTAAATATAAGGATTGAACAGATATTTTCAATGTTCCACGGGTACGAATGAAAATCGGTTACATACATATCATTTATCATTCTTCATGGAATATGTATGTAACCGATTTGTGTTCATACCAGTATGAAATTGAAAAAAGGGCCGTTCAATCTTGATACGGAAAGCGTTATAACAGATTGTTGGTGAGCCACTTGAACGTACTTACATATATGTAACTGTCTGTATAAATCTAATAAATGTGACTTGTATATATATCCACCATCCTTCCAAACATGTGATATGTGAATTGTATTTTGACATCAGAAAGATATCTTAAATGTAACTTATCATACAAGTCATCTTATGATTTGTTAGTAAAAGTTCGCAAAATCTTTTCAACGGGAAAATCAAAAACAGAGCTTTTTTGTTTTCTATGCCTGACCAGTAGGTTGTACAAAATTTAAATGGCCATATTCCCATCACAAATGCATGCTCAGATATGTTGGCAATGCAAATACTCTATACAGAATTTTTTGATAGATTTCTGATTAAAGTGAAACTGAAAATTTGAAACTGGACCTGTATCTTTTCAATGAAATAATGTATGTGACTTTTTTTTAGAAAATTATTTTTGGATAGATCTTTCCCTTTTTTACTCTTTCATTGATCTTTGGCCTTGAAGAAGAAAAGATCAATAGTGTTTTCATTAAGAACAAGCAGCAGGCCAAAATGACTGGTTCGTTCCAATTTTGACAGGTTCAAATCCTTTTTTTCTTATAGATCTCATCATGATCAGTTATTCTTTTACAAAAGTTAACCAGTTAAATTGTCATTTGGTCTGTTCAACTAGAAGCTACTGCAGAGCCTGGGTCACTCAGTGTCCAGTGATGTACACCAACAGTGCACTTCAAATATAGTACACCTTCTAGGATGATGCTACTTAAAGTTTCATCAAGATATCTTTAATGGTTTTAAATTGTTAACCCTCAAAATATATTAATGAAAACGTTTTCATTTATGGAGTCTTTGACCTTGAGATGAAGTCATGATGACCGAATTACTGTTCAGTGCACACCGCCTGTAGGTGATTTAGGTAGAATTAAGTAGACGTTAATCTGGTTTCATAAAGTTTACTTAAAATGTCATAAGCATACCCAAAAGGACCTGTACTTATACAACAATGTCCCCCTTCCTTTAAAAGGGGAGACTAGAGTCTGATCACTGAAGGCAAATCATGGTTGATTGATGATATGAATTATATTTATTAAACCACAACCATTAAATAAAAATAGCAAACAAGAGGCCCAAGGGCCTTAGCGGTCACCTGAGTTATATTATAGGTACCCGTTACTGGTAGCTCAATTTCATTATTGAGATGTGATGTGGAAATCAACATGTAAACAAAGTGAAATACAATACTCATCATGTCACCATAGTATAAGAACTCTAAAAACTATTCAAATAAATTATTTTGCTATTGAGAAATATAATATCTATTGTTATTTAGCCAATTTTCCTCTCTGGCCAACCCCTGGGATAGGACAGGATCTTAGTTTCTGATACTATTTGATTTCAATTTCATTATAACTATTCCAACCAAGTTTGAATTACTTCTTGCTGAAAATGGACAAGATATAGTCAGTTATTTCCCTATATAAACCAAGGAGAAATGATGACCAAAGGGTAATATAACTATATAATGTACCAAAGGGCATTTCCATCCAAAAAAAGAAATTTGAATCTTCTACCATCTGAGTGCAGATTTTTTTTTTATATCAGCCATTTTCCCCTTTTTGGGCCCTTTTTATCCATTAAGAGTATTTTTTGTAACACATCTGAGTCTAATGATGAAGATTTTTGAAATTTTAACCATTATCCCCATTCGGGCTGCACCTCTCCAGCCCCTGTGGATGGGGCAGGATCTGATTTTCTCATACCATCTAATTGCCATCTGGCATCATAATCATTCTAACCAAGCATTAATAATTTCCAGCTGAAATTGACAAAAATATGCCCAAAAGTGTTATTTCCCTATATAAACTTTACCCCCTCCCCAAGGGAGAACGGATAGCCCGGGGGAATTTACAATTTATATAAAGCCCCTGATGATTTTTCTAACCATGCAAGAGAAACTGACTGTAGTACCTCTGAGTCTCAAGAAGAAGATTTTTAAAATATTGGTTAATTTTCCCTTTGGGGCCCCACCCTGGCCCCTGGGGTTGAGGCAGGAATCCCAATTTACAATTTGATACCATCTTCCTCCAAGAATGATTCTCACCAGGTAAGAATAATTTCCTATAGAAAATTGACAAAATATACCTAAAAGTGTTATTTCCCTATATAAACTATAGTAAACATTACCCCCTCCCAAAGGGAGAACGAAGAGCCCGGGGGTACTGAAATTTACAATTTTCATAAAGCCCTTGATGATCTTTCAGATTGTTCTGAAATTTGTCATTACTGTTTCCGGTGCGCTCCTTTAATTATGATTGCCCATTCAAGGTTGCGGCCAGTAAGTACGCTGACAACCACATGGTTGTGTCATGCTCATCTTTGTGTGAGTGTTGAATCATTGAAAAGAACCAAAAGAGAGAGAAAGCACAAATTAAAGAACATATTTCTTTCTATGATTCAGAATTGGCCAACCCACAACCAATGCTTAAAAAAAAGTTAAAATCAAGTCCTGAAATAACAAAGAGAGTCTGGTACCGTACACATTACAACTAACTTATTCATGTGCACCCCTGAAATTTTATAATGAACTATTCCAACCTTTTAATTGGAAGATTTCACATGTGTCTTCAGGGGTGAATGAGTTAATGAGCTTTACTTGAAACCACCATGATAATATAGTGACATGATATTTTACAAATTTACAATATATCACAAGGATTAACAAACAAAATTGTTTACAGTATAATAACCAAAAACTTGTCTATCTAATAAATTCAAACAGAAACAAAATATATTTGAGGTAGCAGCTGGGACCTACATCTTTCTGTGGACTCATAAAATGTAGTCAGGCATGCATAAACTTTCAATAATCTATTCAAAATCGAAAAACATGTTTTCCACCCAAAAAAACAGGTTTTAAAGAAAAATATGTCAAATGTCCAACAGATTTATTACTTGGGCTATTGCTTGTATGTTTGTAGTTCAAAGTTAAAACTTTCAACCACGGAATATTAATACTGATTAATAGTTCCTTTCGATTTTGGAGAATCAAGTATTCCAATCATGTTGAAAAACTCTACTTAAAAGTGATCAAAACCTTGTATCTCAATAGTGGCTCTATAGAACACTTTTATCAAATAAATGTGTATAATATAGAACACAATATTGTTTTAATTTCCTTCTAATACATTTGTGTTAATCAGCTAATTGTTACACCTACAAGTTCCCAACTTGTTCCAGAATACAGTTGCTAACATGATTTGTCTATATTGTATAATTCTTTTGAGGATTTGTGTTGATTTTACTGCGTAAGGGACACAACCCATTATCAAATTGATATTTGTTCACAAAAGCAGAAATAATGACCATGCATTGTGTCATATAATTGTCATAATATTGAGTTTAAATGAAAATTGTGTTGTGTAGTTACATGTACACTGCCAATGTGTACGTACATGCATATATTACCTTTTTGATGAAGTTACGTCTAATATTCTTGTCAGAAAATGATGACATGTTTCCCATTGGACAGGAAACCTCAGAATGTGTGTCGACATGGGAGGTATTGGTACTTCCGCCATGCAGGTTTAATGAGCCTGATGCTGGGTAAGATTGTGGCGGGTAGTATGATGTATTTGGTGCTGGTTGACCTTGAGGAGGATAGCCAGGTTGATTTGGATAGCTAGATGCAGGAGGTTGCATTCCTTCTTTTCCATAGTTACCACCTAAAAAAAATCATCAAACACTGAAGAGTAGGTCCTGAACAAAACTACAGGATTTACAAAGCAATAAGCCATACCCATAAACTGTTCAACATAAAAAAAAAGCAATTCATTTTTTTTAATATTATACAACTACAAGTATATTGGTACAGAACACCAAGGCATAGTTTTGACTATATACTATGTATGAAATGTTTTAAGTGTGTTAATAACATACCATATGAATAACCACTTTGTTGATGGTCAGGAGCTGTGCCTGTCACCTGGTCATATGTGGGAGGAGGTGCTGAGGGATGGGTTGCCATAGCGTCTATATATATAGATCTGCAATAGAAGTATTGATAATTTAAATCACAGTACACCGCATCCTTGTTATAGCTTCATCAATGTTTCTTTAGCTTGAGCAGTTTACTGGAGAAATAGTCAACACTTGCATCAAAAAGTTGATTGTTGTTTTCAAGTGAAATGTAGAACATTCCATACTTGCAATATTACTGTACTCAAGTTTTAAAGCATTTCTAAAATTAACATGGCTATAAAAATACAGTTGCTTAAACTTAAATTTTCAGACAATAAATACATTTTTGGACCCTTATCGAAAATGTTGTCTTCTGATTTACAATTGTAATGTATTTCTGAGATTGATTCGTGTTATCTTGATTTTTTTTCCCTTTTAAATGATGAAATGCAAATTAAGAAAAGTTCTTTCAGTACATTAAATTTTGCTATGATGGTATTACATTACTATTGGCTTCAGAATAATTCCATGAAAAAAATGTTGAAATGCATGAAGTAAAACAGGAGGACATATGCACGACCATACTCGGATTGAGAATTTCCCAACTTTAGACAGATCGACGCTCTAACCACTGTGCTATCTGGTCACCAAAGATCAACCCTGAGTCCATTTCCACAAGATTTCTCCACAATATACAAAAACATCCAAACCTAAGACACACAAGACCCTCTACCACATTCTGTGGGTATATTTCGTTAGGCACCAAATGTAACAAGAGAGGAAAAATGCCAACGTTTATTTCATAATTAAAATGTACACATCTGCTTAACAATTAAATTACGTATCTATGTACTTGGGGAATTATTTACATTTCGTATACGTCTCTAGAGAAAGTATTGTACTTAGAAGAAACTAATTTAGTTTCATTCTTTATAAGCAATTAATATACATATCTAGTTTCATCTATCTCCATTTCGTATACGTATCTATGTACTTAGAGAAATTATTTAGTTTTATTATATATGTCCATATCTGATCTATTTGAATCAAGAGAAATGTAAGTTTGCTATGTTTAATAACTTTTAACATGATATTTATGACTTAAAGAAAAAAATGTTTAGGGCGAAACAACCCTTAGGGTGAACAGGATTTAGGGCAAAACAACCCATTACCGTAGCAACAGTACAATGCACAACACTTGAGGACTTCAAGGCACACATATACCCTATGCAGGAATCCCCTATGCAGCCCTTGAAGCCCTCACATGCTAGTGCACATGCCAGCTTTTATCATTTATCTTATACCCTGCACAAAAACATCCAAAAAAACTTATCACTTTAAATAACCCCTCTTTCACGCCTTTGTGCACAGGAACCGAAGGCACAATCATCAGCATTGATGGAGCCCCTGTATTAAGAAATCAGATGCATGTACTAAAAATGCAACCCAGACCTCTATTCCCTTTATATACAAATGAAAGTTATAATCTGACATATTTGTATAATCCCTGTCAGCTTCAAACTGCTATTGTAAGTCTGCTCATAAAAAGATTATAGACACACTTCCCGGAAACTAACAGGCGACAAGACGTTGCTCGAGGTTTTTCCAGTTTGCTAGATTCATTTACGATTAATCTGCCAAATATCAACGGTTTGCCAATGCCGTTTTTTCAAATACCGATATTACTCATGAGTTGCGAGGCCTAGCTGGAATAATTAATTTTAATCCTGTTCAGAGGCTACTGTACTGTTTACTGCTGGTCGGCCTTTTTTCTATCGGATATGATATGATTTTGCCGACTGCGACAGCGCCTGTCAAAAGTATCTCGCCGTGTAAAACCTCTAACATTGTTGGAGTACTGTACTGTAGGCAGTGTCAGATTATGCAATAGCCCCATGATCTGTACAGTATCTTTAGTCTATAGGAAAGGCCTCAATCTGAAGTAGAAACTTCCGGGATGATGTAAATGAAAAAAATATGGAATACTGATTTGGAGTTTTCTGAAAATCTGTGATTATTTCAGATTTGCTAATTGTTAGTCAGGATGATCTGTAGCTGTAGTATACCGGAAAGACATCAAATAAACTTCCGGGATGATGGAAATGAAAAAATGATTGAATAGGCCTACTGATTTGGAGTTTTCTGAAAATCTGTGATTATTTCATATTTCGAATAAACTATCTACGATATAATTGGCAAATAATCAAGACCGATTAGTACTTACTAGACTATATTTACGTAGCTTTAACACCACAGAGAGCAACCTGAAAGTGTTTGGTTGGTATGTTTGACGTCACAGTCAGGGAATGGGTAACATTCGGATAGATATTGCGGTAATTGTCTGAGGTCGTTACGAACTTTCAATTCGTACTGTAAAACATTCTCGCTATTCGCCTTTTGGTGGTATTTTGAAAGCGTGGTAAAAATACGAATATTTTTTAACAAATAAAAGAGTTTAAACCTGCCTAAATAGCATTTATAAGCGGCGCGTCTAAATACCCAATACTATCACATACGACCCAGTTATGTACCCAATACTACTTTAATACTGTGAAATATCAACTTTGTATAAGTTATTTAGGCCTACTTCTATCTGCCATATTTTATCGAGAAATATGCTATTTGGTGCAAAAAACAGTCAGTTTTGACCGACAGCCTATCAGTAAAATGTGTTCTCTCGAGTTATTCCCCTTTATTCAATAACTTTGCCGCTCCCAATTAATACTACTTGTGAAATATCACCTAAAACAGAGTAATTTCCTTCCTTTCTGCCGTATTTCCTCAGAGAATATGTATGTACAGACGTACAGCAGAGACTATATACTTCATACTATAGGTCTCCTTGTACCATAATGAGTACCTGGATTGCTATTAAACAGCCCCAGGACACGGACTAAGGATATTGGCCCGATCCGCGAGTCCAACATGAAGCTGGACTCCAGATAATAACAGACTTGTGCTATTTCTTAATTAGTGTCACAACCTCAAGTGGGTTTTGTAAAAGAGACGTATATATTATATAATATATACATGTACGTCTGGTTATAAATAGTACATATATCTCTCGGGTTGTAGATTCGAATTTGAACAAATAGTATTTTCTTATGGATTGATATATAATGTTTGTGACATTACTGGTTTTATAATATATATATTTTAATAGAAAAATATTTATTCAATCAAATTTTTATAACTTTTTGGCCTAATGTTCCATCAGTCAAAAAAATAAAAAATGACAAAGTTATAGCATGGCATACATACATGTCATTGTGGTAACTGTTGAGAAAGAGATTCTTTTGAATTACTTGAAACAGTTGTGTTAGATATTTTTTCTTAATTCTTGACTTCAGAGGTAACATTTTCTACTCTAAGTAATTGAATTAGCTTAAAGACAAAATTATTAGTCAAGTAATATTTCTTACTTCATTTTTTTTACTTAAGTGTTGTCACGGACTAATCTAATTCCGTGATGGGGAATATGTTATATTCAGGAATAAAATGATACAATTTGTGTAGCAGTACAAGTACAATATTTTCTAGATCTTATAAATATCGGGTATCTGGGGACTAAACAAATAAATGATCAATCAGAGACCTATATATATTCTTTTTGTTTTGTTTTTAAATACGGACTTAGTTAGCATTTTCTAATTACATGGATTAAAGAATTCTGCCTCAGATTGCATATTCTCTGAGGAAATACGACAGACAGAAGTGAATAACTTTTTTAGATGATGTTTCACAGAATCAAAGTAGTATTGGTTATAGCATTGGGTAGTAACCGGTGAGGTTTTCGGCAATGTAGTGGAATAGCGTACCATCTGCTTTTATAAAGTCAAATACCATGGCCAAATTCAAGAAGGATATAAAAAAAAATCACCTCTTCTATAATTTTAGGTGGTTTATGGTCCAATGGCATACCTGTTTCATCTGCAATAAAAATACGCTCTGGCCGAATTTTAGATTACATCTATTTTATATTCCCCCCAACATGGCAAAGTAGTTCTAAACAACATTTGGATTAACAGATATGGCACGATCCCGCGGTAATGACTGGGGGCTACACAGACGCACCTCTGGCCACCTCTTGATGAAACCTAGCCACCAGCCATTCACAAATCTATTTCTGATTTCTCCCTCTTTCACAATATCCCCAACAATAGATAGCAACTGTTGTTTGGCCTGCCAAACCTAATTTGGGCACAAACTTTGATATATTCAAGTTTCTGCTCCCCCAGGTTGGAGAGTGTTGGATGGGGACAAGGGCGGGTGGCAGGGTCACTGGAGACCCGACCGGTGATGCGGTCACCCAACGATGACAGGGGGCCTGGTATTCCTCTACTATCTGGGGAACAGATATCTTTCTACCTGAAGAGAACTCGGATTTATAAAAATCCAAAGCCCTCTGCATGTTTTCCTCGTCCCAGGTTCTTCGGACCTTTTTAGTCGACATATTGATGCAATCCTTCAATAAATTCCAAACCAAGATTTGAAATATTTTTTATCTTTTGTTAAACACAATTTTTGTATTTTTGTTACGAGTATTGTATGTTTTATATTTATGTCAACCACATGTGAGATTAGTTATTGAATCTAAATAAAGTGAGTTCTTATTCTTTTCTATTTATTATTATTTTTCATATATTAAATTGTTTCTGTTTACTGTTTACTGTTTACATGATAGTTATGTGTCTTTGTCAAAACCAGGGTGCAAACCAGCGACGTCCGATTGACCAGTCTGCTGCTCTTCAAGCCGAGACAAATCAAACTTTCTTGAAGGAAAATGTTTATAATATGCACACTCAAAATTGTCGTCGATGTCATTTATTTTCAAAATGTTGATAGTGTGATGTCCTTGATGTCTTGTGTTGAATTCAAATAATGTGTCAGTTGGGTTGGCTACCAAAACATTTACCATATTACACCAGTCTGTTTTTCCTGCTTTCTGAAAAGGACTGCCACTGGAGGTCCAATATGACCGACAAGAACAACTTACTACTAAGCTGTATGAAATGCAAAATAATTCCGATTTTTCGATAGTTCACGAGCTTCCCTCTCGAACATTGTGGACCACATGGTTATATTACATATATTGTTTGTGGCACTCTGTGGCAATATTAAATGGCAAAAATGTTCTAAAACTTTCTTTTTTATCCTAGGCTCTGGTATAACCGGAAAGAATGTTCAACATAAAATATCACATATTGACAGGAAGCCAGATTTAGGTCAAACAAGTTCCTTAAAATGTTCATTTATGAACGAGTGTCATATTCAAAATTCCAATTTTCTAATTACTATGCTTTCCGTAGTTCATTTCAACAAATTTTATTGCAAAAAATATGCAAAGGGATAGGGCATCAGGCAAAGCCTATATAAGCCTTCTCCTTACAACTTCGGTATGTTATATACAGTCATTGAAATCATCAAACAAACATATAAACAATTCATATAGTGTGTCTCCATGTCCCCACCGTACAAGGTATAGTTATGATTAAACTTTTTTTTTAGTGTTGATAATGTACTCTGATATACATTGTAGTACAAGTGCATTGGTTTCTTCATCACATTCATGACATCCATGAAGTAATGTGTTTATATTAAAATGCTCATGGGTTATATTTTGGTTTTGGTCAATCGAGAATGGCTGAATAGAGGACAGATAAAAAAAATAATGTTCCGCAGTTTTATCACCAAGGTTGCATGTGCATATTGGAGAATCTTTAAATGGTCAAGAAAAAGGTCAGAGTTCAAATTGCTGGCTTCATTTCTAAGTTGACACATAATTATATCTTTATTTCGACTGCCATCATTTGCAAACGTTTTTCTTGTAGCCGAGACAGTTTCGTTATTTTTGAAGAGTAGAGCTTTAAATTGTGATAGAGAGTTTACATTTGATAAATCAAAATTGAGAGCGAATGAGTTGAATTCCCTAAATGTACTTGGAAAATAGCTACTATAATAGCTTACTGTTCTACATATTGGAGTGTTGAAATATCTAGTCGTCCTTAATGGATATCTTTCATTTTCATTGTGATATATAAACGGTTGCACTATATCTTTAAGATGTTGCGGGGCCATGCCATGAAGAATCTTAAACATTAATATTAATTTATGTTTTTGTCGTCTATCTGAGAGAGATTCCCAGACAAGTTCTTTATATAATTTATGATGAGAGGTACCACTGCGCAATCCTGTTATGACTCTAGCAGCTTCTAAATGAACAGATTCAAGCAGTTGTTTAGATTGTTCCGTGCAATTGTCCCACAAGACGTCTGCATAATCCAATAAAGGCAAAATATATGTTTTATATATCTTTAAAAGAGTTTTTCTTGAGAATCCTTTTTTAAGTAATTTTAATATATTTACCCGTTTAAACGCTTTTTTTCATATATATAATTTACATGGTGAATCCATTTACCATCTTCAGATAAAATAACACCTAGATGTTTGTGAGTAGCAAGGGATTGAACTGGGCTATTGTTAAAAATATATCTGGATGTAGCGTGTCTCTTTTCCTAGTAAATATCATTGATACAGCTTTTGAAGGATTGGAATCAATATCCCTCTTTTTACACCAAGTACTAATATTTGAAAGATTTCCTGAAATTTTATTAGCTATTTCAAATATTGTCATTTTCAATTATTTCACTTAGGATGTATCATTAGCAAACAATGTTATGTCACTAGTTACAATATCGGCGTTATCATTGATATATAAAAGAAATAAAAAGGGACCTAAAACAGATCCCTGTGGAACTCCAGCGTTTATAGATTTATAAGTTGAGAAAATGCCCTCGGTTAAAACACGTTGGTTTCTATCTGACAAGTAATTTTTAAACCAACTTAGCAAGTTTCCTTGAATACCATAGGATTCTAGTTTGTATAATAATCCTTCATGCCACACTCTATCGAAGGCTTTACTTATGTAACAGAATACAGAGCGATTTTCTCGTCCTTTATCAAGGGAATCCATAATCATATGATATATCGAAAGATGTTGATTCACAATTGAATCTCCTGGACTAAAACCTGACTGGTTCTTAGTAATGATTTCAAATTCTCGCAAATAGTTATATAGATATTTAAAAAATACTTTTTCTATTATTTTGCTAAAGCAAGAGGTAACTGCAATTGGACGATAGTTAGAAACACAATTTTTCTCACCCTTGCCTTTATAAATAGCATTAATGTTTGCAGTTTTCCAAGACAATGGGATTGAGCCAGTTTCCATGGTTTTATTACAAAGGAGGGTAAGGGGAAGAGTGATAGAAGGTGTTAGTAGTTTTATAAGTTTTGGGACAACTCCATCAGTACCAGCGGGCTTCTTCCCATTTAAAGTAGAAAGTTGATCTTTAATATCCTGTTGGGTGAACTCAATGCTATCAATTACGAAAAGAAAAACAGGAGGGGAAGGGAGAGGATCAAGATTATTTGATGAAGTAGAGATAGAAGAAAAGTAAGTATTAAGGCATTCTGCCTTATCAAATGGATTTTGAAGGAAAGAACCATTATCGTTTAAAGGAGTGACACTGGTTTGCTTATTGTCGTTTTTTAACAGAGATTTCGCTACTTTCCACCACTTGTCAGGTGGTAAGCTATTGCTATTAAGGGAGGATTCGAGTTTAAAGAGGTATTGTTTTTTTGTTTGTCTAATTAAATCTATTGTTTCATTTCGAATTAATCTATACCTCTCCCAATGAAAAGGGGAATTCGTGTTAACAGCTTTATTATGGATACGATTTCTTTGCCTTATTTTTAAGTGTAATAGTATTTGTAAACCAGGGTTTATCATTTGGTCTTACTGTAACTGATCGATGTGGTACGAATTCCTCGATTTGTTTATTTATGGATTCAACCAGAATATTATTGAAATCGTTAACATCATTGTTCTGGGAAATAGAGATCCAGTCAATATCACTAATATTAGTATTAATCCTATGAGTGTCTGCATTATCATATTCAAAAATGTTTTTTCTTATATGCAGTTTGTTTATTAGAGCGTAGCTCTCGGACGCCGAAGGCGCCCGAGCGAAGCTCTTTAATGGTAACACATGCGTGCGTAAACAGAGTTGCTTCCCCTTTATACACCTTGCCTTTATTTATTTTTTCGTCCGGAAGTAGACGTCCAGTGGGGAAACAGGAAGTGTATCCTTGAAGCAAAGACAATTGCGTTTCAACCCATACATCAATATCTTCATATACTGAAAACAATCTTCATGTTTTATTACTTTATTAAGATAAAAAAATATATGACGTCATAAGAACGTCACAATCAATCCGCCTTCATCGGTTATTTCCGGAAGGTTGAACAATAACCGGAAAATTCTGAAACTGATGCCCGTTGCATTTATCTCTTTGTCGGTGCTTCAAGACTTTTTTTTATTTCAGTTTTTTTCCACAGGCACATAAAAGGAAAAATGCGGATATTTTCTGAAGATCATTTTTGTCATCAACTCGGTTCTGTTGATATTTCATCCAAGAGATATCTTAAAAACAAGAGATCATATAAAATTTCACCAGCTTTTGATTTCCATTTGTTGGGAATATGAACGAAATAATTGACATTTTGAAAGTCTGGATATAGTCTTTACATTATTTATGCATCACCACTCATGAAAGAAGCAATGGAAAATGCATTTATGACGAAATTAACAATAATTTTCCTGACAACCAACCCAAGTGCAACGCCCTTTTTCAGCAACCTATTACTTTTTCACAACGCGTGCCGATTTATAACTAGTTACAGACAGAAACTGTAATTTGATTTAGCATCATTAACTGTCAAACCTCGGTGACAGTTACAAAAATTGAAATTCAATCCGATGTTTCAGGATGGAACAGTAATTGAGACTACATATCCATATCAAGACAATTTCAGTTACATCAAAGTATTGTAATGTTTTATTTTTTTTATTATTTTCATTTAACTAACATCTCTATACATTTACTTAGAATAATCGTCAAATGTGTAACATGCACTTTTTTCTATAGCAATAACCAAACAGTTTTCTCCAGCTTTTCTCAGTCATTCTTTTTGTGCCCTGACGGAAGCACGCAGAGGGTTTAATTCTTAATACGGGAGGAAGCTGGAGTTTCCGGAGAAAACCCGCGTGGTCGGGTAGGTGACCGGGATTGAATCCGGCCATCTTGGTGAAGACGAGCGCGCTATCCACTGCGCCACCCGACCCATCATATACGTTCAGCACAAGAACAAATGTCGACTTTAGCTTTGACTGGAAGAAAATGGCGTTATTGATGCAAAAATTATATTGTGAATACATTTTTACCAATCATCAATGATATAAAAAAAATCTATATACGGGAGACCGGGGCAAGTTCGGCCATCCCTGATATATATTTTTTTCTGAGCTAATATTTGCAACTTTAAGGATATTAGCAATTTAGTTGGCTGGGCATTCAACGACGAAAACATGGCGAGGAAAATGTAAATTGACTTAAAAGGAGAAAATTACTTTTGAGAGGGGGGGAGAGAAAATCATGATCTCGCTTCTAGTTATGCGAACTTTTTGAAACGGAATTGCTACTTTTTTACAGTCAAACGTGTAACACACTGACAGCTTCAAATGATAATACATATAAGCCAATCCAATCACTCACTACCATATTGCTGTACGAGTAGAATTTATTGTAATATCAATTTGGGCCCGATCAGGTTTGACTAATGATACCGTGTATTCAGATAAAAAGCCGTAAAATTGGCAGTAAAATCTGACGTTGCATGCTTTATGACGTCATAATTAAGCTGATTTGTATGGGGACCGAATTTACCCGAATGCCTGTCCGAACTTACCCCATGGCGGGGCTTGTTCGGCCATCCGATCTTACGATTGATTACGAGTGAAATAATGTTAAAAAACGGACGTGCTGCCATACTTCCTAGAACGGACTTTAATAAAAAAGAAAAGAAAAAAAAAGGCCGAACTTGCCCCGGTCTCCCTATTGTTATGTCGGTCTTAATCTCATTAGAGCTTGTGTTTTATTGTTATTCCTAGATTAGCCGACTTTAAATAAAGTTGATCTTAATTCTTATCTCATTCTGAAAGTTGTATTATGAATCAGTAAATATCAGAGATCAACAAAAGCTACGCTCTTTTAAGGCTTTGCCTTTTCATATTATACTGAGTATGATAAGCAAAAGTTAATAAGACAATGATCACTGATTTCCGTAGTTAATGCATACATTTCTCTTCTGCTTCCAACATCCTTCACTGGCCTAATATACATTTAGCGTCTCCCCCCTCACACCATATCTTCTATCCCAGTTTTTATTCCTTCCTTCTTTCCCGCATTCCCTCCTTCCTTCTCATTCCTTTCTCTTCCTCCCTTCCTCCTTTTCGTCTTTCTTTCCTTCTGTCCTTTTGCTTCCTTCATTCTTTTCCTTTTTTCCCTCTTATATATTTCCGTTATTTCGGCCTTTCATCTCTGTTCACAGTATGCTACGATTACAGAGAGGTTACAGTAATACGTTGTCGTATTTCTGCCCTAATTGGTCTGGCTATGGACTCGTACAAGAGGACATTTCCCCTCATTACAAACAGACCCCGACACTGTACGTCCGTTTTAAGCCAAACTCTTTTCACACACTGCGATATGGATGCTTTATTGATTGTGACCAACGTCTTTCTTATTCAACTTGTTGTAGCTATAGAAGTATTAGGTAAGTAATCGATCTTTTCTTATAAAAGACATTATATTCATATTTATTTTCAATTGATGTGAGCGAATTATGTATGAAAATGTCAAATCTTGCCAGGTCCAATTAGGTCATGATTGATCCATAACGGAAACATTGATTGTAGTACAGAGCAAATGTGTTTTTAATGTTAAATTTACATAACTTGATAACGAAAAGATACATTATGTATGAATTATTTGAGGAGTTATTTTGTAAAAAGATAAGTTTGCTTTGCTATCAAAAACGAAATATGGTCAGACAGTAAATATGGTTGTAATAAAATACACATAATTGGTTTTAACAGAATGAATATTTTAATTGTGTATATAAGACTGTTGTTGCTTGCAACAAAAGCAAAACTTAATATTGTTACAGAAAAACAATAAAGTTGATCCAATGGGGGAATAATAAACCTTAAGATGACGCATTTGGATGTAGCATTGGTATTATGAATGTATGTATGCGCGTCCTATAATAGTGTAGCACAAAGTCACACGGGGCCACTGTAGAAAACGAGTCAACGAAAGGGAGATCTGTCTAGGAACGTTTTGAACTGTTAGATTGTGTATTACTTTATACCCGTAAAAATGCTTACATAGCGAGTTTGAATTTACTTTTGTTTTATTTTTCACATAATAAAGAATTTAACTGTCAGATGACAGATATATTTCATTTTGAGTTTATAAATTGTAAAAATAATAATTAAATTGTTCAAATATAAAAACAAAAGTGTAAATAATGCATATTTGCGGGATATGAGTAAATAAGAATAAACATAACCCTAGCATAATAAGATAAGGTGTTCCGGTAGGCAAACGTTTTCTTCTTTATTGACGACACCGGTCATGCAAATCTAGGTCAAATCCAAGTATCGTCACGTACTCATAGTGAGAAATAGGATGCTTCAACAAAGTATAAGGTTATAGTGAATAGCTTAATGATAATTACGAAATGTATGACGTTAGCCATTAACATGGTTATCATATTCATCAGCCTTTATTACTCGAAGCCTGTGATGCATGTGTCACTCTCCTTGGGCATCTACACTGTATCACATGAAACCGTGATATTAGGAGCAAGCCTTTGAACACGGAATTTATTGCTACATGGAAACACAGTAGTTTTGAAAAGCTAAGCTATATATATCAAGAAAGGGAAAGGTCATGAGCGGGAAATTAAAATCGTGACTTTGGCTATACCAGCTAAGTGAAACATTTCATTGTTGGTCATGTTGAATGTAAATGTAAGGGTGAAGGAATGTAGAAGAGGCTGACATAGTAGCTAACAGATGCTGAGATTGATGCTGGATTCGCCGTCGATATGTAATGTTTGGAGTGTGAGTTTTACAAACCATTAATTCACTGATAAAAGAGGAACTATGTAATTAAAAAAATAAGCAGTTTGGACATAGACATGGTGTTTAGCAATCGGTTTTAACAAAACTTAATCTATCGACTAATGGAGTGATAATCTTGATTTCATTAAGCTTATAATATTTGTAACATTTATGATAAGCTTCCTGATATTGATGTGCTCACATCAGCGATGGTTAGTCCGGCCGCCCAGCGTCAACTGTTTAGACCGTATGGTGTAGATTATTGATACTATATGCTTTTAGATTGTTTGGGAGAATGGCTATCAAGTTTATTCAAATGTTGAGAATGACTTGCTTTATCAAATTTAATTGTAATTGGGAAATTATTGACTTATCAAGTTTAGGAGAGTGAACTTGGGGCTATGAACCTAGCACTCCCTTATATAGTCTGGGATAATATCATATTTGAAACATTTGAAACAAAATCAAAATAAAATGAAAGCGACGTCAAATTTGTCACAATATATTTCCTAGGCATACTTTTCACATTACAGGGGTTAGATAATTTAAATATTCCAACAACTTCTTTGTTAAGGTCATAATGGTTTGAAGAACGTTGCTCTCAACAGTTAACCCTATTAGTCTCCAGCTGAAGGAAACCAATGAAATGTTGAGTCATCCAGGTATTCGAAGTTGCATAGACCCTTAATCACAAATTGTCATTTGAAGCATGGTGATTGACTCATTCATGTTATCAACGAATCTCACTGCAGCAACTCATACCATATATTTTCGCAACGTCCACCACAGACCATATAAATATCACACCCCCTTCCTGTACTTATGGAGTACATAAAATGGGTTAAAACCGGTTGATTGTAGCTGATTTACTATGAAACCATAAAATCCAACATGGGACAGGACATTAATGCCCATATACAGTTGGTGTGTCAATATTATATTTAATGATCTACTATTGAGTCTCATTTACCTGTACAGTATAACAAAAATATCAATGTGTTACAAAATTAAATTGAAGAAGTCATCCTTTATGACTGAAAAATGGATCTGCCATTGATAAAAGTAAGCCCGATATGACTTTAAATACCGTTGCTAGGCTGTTTAGCAACTAATTGACTAATTGAAAAAGCACAACGATTTAAAGTACAAATATCTTGTTAACAATATTATGCCTTGTACAACTGCAGCTAGTGTTCTTGAGGGGCTATCAAGTGCATTCTAGCTTTTAAGATCACTTCAGTGAAGTGTGTTTAAACATACCCAATACAATTTCATATGAGTTGAGTGATACAGGCTCTCGTCTAAAAACGGTGTGTCTGTCTCTGTTAGATACAATTTGCAATTGTAAGAAGACGTTTTACTTTAAATTACCTTGATGTCTTTGGCTTACTTTTGATAAAACATAATTGATCATTTAAAATTTACCTCATACCAGGGACGACCAGAAGGTCTTACAAGCTAGTAAAAGAATCCCGGACGTGGTCGGAGGCTAGGAAATTCTGTGAAGCACAGGGTGGGGACTTGGGTGTGGTCACCGACTTTTATTCCAGTCCGGGTCGCTACCTCGCGCACGCTCTCGAGTCCACTCCTGACCTCAAAGCGTGGGTCGCTGGTAAAGGACAAGATGATGGATGGGATTGGTACGACCAGCAACGACACCAAGGTAAGACTTGTATATTATGGACAACGTGGTGCTACAATTTTAATATATTAGTTGCAGTAATGTATGCATCGGTCGAACTCTTAGTAAGTGAAATGTAGGTATATTCTAAAACTTCCTATAATCATAGGTTTCTCTCACCTTATTATTAAAATATAGAAATGTGTGGAATCTAAAATTAAATATCATTTAAATAACATGTTTAGGTACAAATGCTTTACACGTTTTTAGTTTATGTTAATATCCCGTAAAATATCTAACTATCATGATCATGACATAAATGCATCGCCATTTAAACGGCATCCAAAGAAGCGCCATTAACCATTTCAGTCCTATGTAACTTGAATAGACTCCAGCATGCATTGATATGAGTCCATTATGATATACAGTGGTGAATAGGGTTAATAGTCAATGCAACTACTACATATTTGAAATCGAAAGTAAAACAGGTTCGATTTAGGTCCTAGATACAAATAATGTTTTTTCTAAGATACGAAGTAAAGCAACACACTCAAAATATAACGCATTGTTAATATAACAACAAAGTACATTGTCTGATAAGTAAGTGGAGATAAACTATAAGTGCTCCAATACTTCGTTAGTCGTTTCATTTACCAGATGTGGTACACGTCATGATGTCTCTAGTCAAATTCAAGAAGAGATGTTTTGTAGGTTGTATTATGTCTAATTAAAAATATTGAGATGATATTGATAATTTCGAGACACATTGCTGATAGAATGGCTATGGTATACTATGTACCGAGACACATTGCTTGTACCGAGACACATTGCTGATATAATCGCTATGGAATACTATGTACCGAGACACATTGCTGATAGAATGGATATGATATACTATGTACCGAGACACATTGCTGATATAATGGCTATGATATACTATGTACCGAGACACATTGCTGATATAATCGCTATGGAATACTATGTACCGAGACACATTGCTGATAGAATTGCTATGGTATACTATGTACCGAAAAACATTGCTGATAGAATGGCTATGGTATACTTTGTACCGAGACACATTGCTGATAGAATGGCTATGGTATACTTTGTACCGAGTCACATTGCTGATAGAATGGCTATGGTATACTATGTACCGAGATACATTGCTGATATAATGGCTATGGTATACTATGTACCGAGACACATTGCTGATAGAATAGCTATGGTATACTATGTACCGAAAAACATTGCTGATAGAATGACTATGGTATACTTTGTACCGAGACACATTGCTGATAGAATGGCTATGGTATATTATGTACCGAGACACATTGCTGATAGAATGGCTATGGTATATTATGTTCCGAGACACATTGCTGATAAAATCGCTATGGTATACTATGTACCGAGACACATTGCTGATATAATCGCTATGGAATACTATGTACCGAGACACATTGCTGATAGAATTGCTATGGTATACTATGTACCGAGACACATTGCTGATATAATCGCTATGGAATACTATGTACCGAGACACATTGCTGATAGAATCGCTATGGTATTCTATGTACCGAGACACATTGCTTGTACCGAGACACATTGCTGATATAATCGCTATGGAATACTATGTACCGAGACACATTGCTGATAGAATTGCTATGGTATACTATGTACCGAAAAACATTGCTGATAGAATGGCTATGGTATACTTTGTACCGAGACACATTGCTGATAGAATAGCTATGGTATACTATGTACCGAAAAACATTGCTGATAGAATGACTATGGTATACTTTGTACCGAGACATATTGCTGATAGAATGGCTATGGTATATTATGTACCGAGACTTATTGCTGATAGAATCGCTATGGTATACTATATACCGAGACACATTGCTGATAGAATGGCTATGGTATACTATGAACCGAGACACATTGCTGATAGCATCGCTATGATATACTATGTACCGAGACACATTGCTGATAGAATGGCTATGGTATACTATGTACCGAGATACATTGCTGATATAATGGCTATGGTATACTATGTACCGAGACACATTGCTGATAGAATGGCTATGATATATTATGTACCGAGACACATTGCTGATAGAATGGCTATGGTATATTATGTACCGAGACACATTGCTGATAGAATGGCTATGGTATACTATGAACCGAGACACATTGCTGATAGCATCGTTATGATATACTATGTACCGAGACACATTGCTGATAGAATAGCTATGGTATACTATGTACCGAGACACATTGCTGATAGAATGGCTATGGTATACTATGACCCGAGACACATTGCTGATAGCATCGCTATGATATACTATGTGCCGAGACACATTGCTGATAGAATGGCTATGGTATACTATGAACCGAGACACATTGCTGATAGCATCGCTATGATATACTATGTGCCGAGACACATTGCTGATAGAATGGCTATGGTATGCTATGTACCGAGACACATTGCTGATAGAATGGCTATGGTATATTATGTACCGAGACACATTGCTGATAGAATGGCTAAGGTATACTATGTACCGAGACACATTGCTGATAGAATGGCTATGGTATACATGTATCGAGGCACATTGCTGATAGAATCGCTATGGTATACTATGTACCGAAACACATTGCTCATAGAATGGCTATGGTATACTATGTACCGAGACACATTGCTGATAGAATCGCTATGGTATACTATGTACCGAGACACATTGCTGATAGAATGGCTATGATATACTATGTACCGAGACACATTGCTGATATAATGGCTATGGTATACTATGTACCGAGACACATTGCTGATAGAATCGCTATGGTATACTATGTACCGAGACACATTGCTGATAGAATGGCTATGATATACTATGTACCGAGACACATTGCTGATATAATGGCTATGATATACTATGTACCGAGACACATTGCTGATAGAATCGCTATGGTATACTATGTACCGAGACACATTGCTGATAGAATGGCTATGATATACTATGTACCGAGACACATTGCTGATATAATGGCTATGATATACTATGTACCGAGACACATTGCTGATAGAATCGCTATGGTATACTATGTACCGAGACACATTGCTGATAGAATGGCTATGATATACTATGTACCGAGACACATTGCTGATATAATGGCTATGATATACTATGTACCGAGACACATTGCTGATAGAATCGCTATGGTATACTATGTACCGAGACACATTGCTGATAGAATGGCTATGATATACTATGTACCAAGACACATTGCTGATATAATGGCTATGATATACTATGTACCGAGACACATTGCTGATATAATCGCTATGGTATACTATGTACATTGACTTTATGATTTCCAGCTGGTTTGATCACTCCATTATCCAAACTGATCGCATACAGAGGCTGCGTTAAACCTGAATTTATCATGGGTGGATTGCGCATGCATAACAATAATGCAGAGGGTTGTTTCAGAAAATGTAAATGGAAGGGATCTATTGCCCTTAAGGTGAGTATACAACTATAAGTATGATTTGTATTTAAAACCTCGTGTTTATATATACACACACAAATTTAACAATCACAAGAAGACCGCCTCTTGGTGCCTTTCGCTGCTGTACAGCTCTGCCATAACGAATATATACTAGAATATATAGGTTACATATGTACATGACATGTACTTGTGTTTAGAATGTCTTGATCTAAATATAAGGCGATTGGGTATTCGAGTGACTCGGTTGATAACGCACTTGCCGTTCGTGGTTTGATTCCTTGATTGGAAGTGAAAAGGTATTGATACACCTGTCCGACCACGTCGGTTTTCTCCGGGCACTCTTGTGTAGTTCCCTATTGAGAGCATTATCTTACTTCCATCCAGGCCATAAAAGCAATTAATTTCTGTTGGAAAACTTGTTTCATACTTGTTATAAAATAATTATATAATGCTATGTCCATATCAGAGCTGGTACTGTATCTGTGAGTGGCGATTGCGGAACATCACGGTGACCGTTGACGACTACTGTGACATCACGTGTCCTGGACGAGACGGCGACAGGTGTGGAGGCATCCACGGAGTATCCCTTTACCAGATGAGTAAGTTTTGTAGGGGTATCCACGAGGTACACGTGTATCCCTCTACCAGATGAGTATGTTTCGTGGAGGCATCCACGGAGTATCATTTTCCCAGATGTGTAAGTTTTGTATGGACATCCACGAAGTATCCCGCTACCAAATGAGTAAATTTCGTTGGATACTCCACGAAGTAGCACTATCAGATGAGTAAGTTTTAGGGAGTTCCGAGAAAAAAACATCCTAAAAAGCAAATCGTTTTAGGGTTATCCAAGCAGTATCACTCTATCAAGCGAATGCATCTGATGTAATTGTTGTAAGGGATGCAGAGAGTATCTGTTAGATCCTTAGGGATAATTCACGGATTATCCTTTTATTTATGAAGACATCTGGCGAGTACTAGTATTTTCTACGAGATAAAGCAGCTAAATGAAAGCCAGATAGGTAAAGGTTTGTGTGTTTTCCATTGAAAAATACTTCTACTGGTAGTCTTGCAGAGAACCATACGAGGTATCCATTGGTTAGAGAATGAGTTTTACTGGATAATCCATGGACATCCCGTTGCTAGATGAGGTGGGCTAGTGGGGCGATCCAAAGAGTGTGTGGAAGATGAGTAAGTCTTGAGGAAACATCCACTTCTTGTAATTTGTAGACCCACGTGCGGTGCTTTGGGGGGAGGGCGAGCCACTTTCAGCCCGAGGATGTGTATATATAAACAGACCCTACGAGGATAAACCATGGAGTTGGCACGCATCACATTGTCACATGATCAGGCGCTTTCTGTGCAGATACGGTAAGTGTATTGACTTTCCAGTTGTTTACATAGCAGATCCTGTATAATTATTTTAGTTGTTATGTTCATAGAAGGTTCGTTTACGTTTGTGTTTGTCAGTATTGAGCATGCTTGATTGTTCTATCTGTGCCCAGATGACCATCACATATGCGGCGTATACCCATCCTGTGTTCGGCCCTCCACCAAACCCGCTACTTGGGAGGATGCTGTAGACCATTGTCACCTAAACAACGGCACAATTGCAACAGTTGACGTCACACATATGCATGAAAGTGATGACATCATTTCAATTCCACCTGGGCAGTTCTGGGTCGGTCTTAGTAAGCAAGAAAGCTGGAAATGGACAAATGGTAAATCTGTTTTATATTATATGATTAGTTGAGTTTGTGGTATCAAACCATCCAACAAGAGAGAAAAAACGTCGTATTCATATAATGCTTCTCTATAAAAATGTTTCTGATAAAGAAAATGGATATTGTTTTATAATTTACTGGTTAGCGATGTCGAATCGAATGCTTTTAAGTTCTATCTTATTAAGATGAATACTGTGTTGTCACATTCCTCATTATAGTTTTATTTCAATGTACAAACTAACATATCCGCTTCCTGGTTTGTTTGTTTGAGTGGTTTTACGTCCGTTTCACTACCGAGTAGTTAGGTTATCCAGCAGCTCTTCCTGGTGTTTGTTCTGGCTTTTTACATCAAATATTTTCCCTCCTCAAATCTGGACCGATCACACACACTCATATGTATTGCACTTCAGGAATAACCATTCCCACCACATATTTCCATGCCAACCGGTATGACAAATGCACGAGCGACACCTGTGTGGTACTACAAAAGAAAGGAGACCTCAAACTGGCTGGAGACTCGTGTGACAACAGGAGGCCTTTCATATGCCAATTCTGTGGGTGTCTTTTTGGCTATTTCTGTTTAAGTGAAGTGCATCGAACTGATTATATAACTCATGTCTGAGATAATCTTTATGGAGGAAATTAATTTTAATGCAGATGTTTTCAAACGAAACTTGTTTTTCTAAAAACGTGTTTCCGTATTCCTTATGCGGAAGCTGATACGCTGCAGTTTAACCCCGATAAAAAGCTAATCAATATTTAAGAAACGTAAGAAAATTATGAAAGTCAATTTACGGTAAGTCATAGTTCAACCGTCTGACGCAAAAGGATACATATGGTATTGTTTAGCCAAAACAAGCTATAAATTACTGATATTTGTTTATCTGGAAAAGTTTACAAATAGTGTTTTCAAAGTTTTGATAATGACGTTATTAGGCTAGTAAATTATACATGCACATCGTGATATTACATTCGTCCAATTATGTATATCGGCACAACAGTTTCAATCATCTGAATTTGAGGCCTAAATGAAATGTTAAAGGTATGGAGAAGTTCAGAACGTCATGTCGGTGCTAGTTCTGTTACCATGACCTATCAAACATTCATCAGGACATACTGTTAAAATATAACTATCCTATTAGGAAACCCTGCTGTTGTTTTCTTAGCGGGGTTCTACACATATGATGTACAATATATATATATATACATTATAAAAGCAGAAAATGATCCTTACGGACGAAGAAATAATACACATTATAAAAAGAAAAAGTCTTCAGTTCTTTAAAGGAGATTCTTCAGACTGAAACTATGACGTCACATAGTAGTTCAAAACAGCACTATTTGTTGGTTGCACAGATACGGAGCATCACTCACCGGTCAAAGATCCTCCTTTTGACCAGAATGACGACCCTTCTGTCGGCGTCAAAGGCCAGGGGGAAAATACCACAACTAGCTACCCCGACGTGGAAGCCAGGGAAGAGATGTACAAAACTGGCAAGTATAGTGCCTTTGTCGAGATAAAACTTGTTTAAACTGTAACTGTTGTTGTTTCCTTGTTAAAAAAGTGCCGCATATAAGTATTATTAACATGATACTTACATGCATGTATTTCTCCCCAATATTGTTTTCCCCGTGTGATGTTACCATTCTCTCTATCAAGTACAGTACTTTTATCCTTACAATTACAATATTCATACGTTCTATTTAGTTTAATGATAATACATCAATTTATGTATCTAATATAACAATAAAGGATTTTATTTTGGTGAATATGTGGTTATAATGACCCTTTATCGGGTTAATATAACCACAAATTCACCTCAACAAAAGTCAATAATTGATACATATTATGCTATATAGTATTTAAAAATTTAAATGTCATCCTTCTGTTACCAAATTTTAAAGCTGCAATTAATATTTGTGTGTCGTCTTTTTTTAAATGATTTAAGAAATCTAACATTTATCGCATTGTTGATACCTAATCGAAATAAAGATAATGCGGCTCTGTGTGTTTTAGTAATGTACCTGGCTATCGGGGTGGCTTCCGGAATGGCTTTGGTTTTTTCCATATGTATCATAGCCTATGTCGCCAGACGGTAAGTCAATTGTTCCCAGCAATACGCCATAATGTTATTCAAATGAGGACATAATCATTCGTTTGTCTCGTTTGTCAGGCTATTGTGACTGTGTAATTGTCAGATAAATTTGGCGTTCTGTTTGTCACGCTATTACGGTTAATTGTTTGTGAAACTATTGTGGCTGTGTGCTTGTCTGACTATGGTGGCTGTGTGCTTGTCAGACCATGGTGGTTGTGTGTTTGTAAAACTATTGTTGCTGTGTGTTTGTAAAATTAGTGTGGCTGTGTGCTTGTTAAACTATGGTGGCTGTGTGCTTGTCTGACAATGTTGGCTGTGTGTTTGTCTGACCATGTTGGCTGTGTGTTTGTAAAACTATTGTGACTGTCTTTGTTAGACTATTGTGGCTGTGTCTTTGTCAAACTATTGTGGCTGTGTCTTTGTCAGATCATGGTGGCTGTGTCTTTGTCAGATCATAGTGGCTGTGTATTTGTCAGACTGTTGCATCTGTGTACTTGTGATACGATCGTGGCTGTGTGTTATCATCTATTGTGGCTGTGTGTTATCATTTATTGTGGCTGTGTGTTATCATTTATCGTGGCTGTGTGTTTGCTATTCTATTGCGACTGTTTGTTTGTGACACGATTGTTGCCGAGTGTTTGTCAGACCATTTTGGCTGTGTAATGGTTAGATCATTTTGGCGCACTTGTAAGTCCATGTTGGTTGTGTGCTTGTGAGACATTTGTGTGTGTCTGTCTATGGTCAGACCATCGTGTTTGTCTAATTCTCAGACAATTGTCGCTTTGTGTTTGGCAGACCACTGTTGCTTTGTGCTTGTTAGTCAATTGTTGCTGTGTTCTTGTGAGATTGCAGAGTTGTCCTTGTCAGATTACTAAAGCTATGTGCCTTTTGGACCATTGCAGAGTTGTCCCTGTCAGATTACTAAAGCTATGTGACTGTGAGACCATTGTAGAGTTGTCCCTGTCAGATTACTAAAGCTATGTGCCTGGGGGACCATTGTAGAGTTGTCCCTGTCAGATTACTAAAGCTATGTGCCTGTGGGACCATTGTAGAGTTGTCCCTGTCAGATTACTAAAGCTATGTGTCTGTGGGACCATTGTAGAGTTG